CAAGCTTTCTTAACTGTCTGGCTTTTCCACCCGTACATGGGGGCTTCCCTAGGATGCCTACCCCGTGTGGCCTTTCAGATGTCATTGGACATCATCCTCATTGTGTAGGTTGATGGAAGCGCTTTGGCCCGCTTTCTCATTGCATGCCTCCAGGGTTGGAGCGCTCACCACCTCCTGAGGTCACGGATTCCGTTGTTATGTAGGATGATGGAAGCGCTTTGGCGTGCTTTCTCATTGCACGCCTCCAGTGTTGGAGCGCTCACCACCTCCTGAGGTCATGGATTCCGTTGTCGTACTGCTCTAACAGTCAGGAAGTTTTTCCTGATATTCGGAGGCCTCCTGGAACTCGAGCCTATTATGACATGTGGATTCCGTTGTTGTACTGCTCTAACAGTCCAGGAAGTTTTTCCTGATATTCGGAGGTCTCCTGGAACTCGAGCCTATTATGACATGTCCTCTACTGTGGGATGATGGAGAACAGATCCCGGCCTTCCTCTGTGGGACTACCTTTCAAGGATTTCAAAAGGGCTGTCGTGCTTCCGCTCAGCCTTCTTTTCTCCAGGCTAAACCGGCCCGGTTCTTTCCATCTTTCCTCCTAGGGCTTGGATTCCAGTCCCCTGATCATCCTTGTCACCCTCCTCTAAACTTGCTCCAGTTTTCTCAGCATCCTCCTTCAAGTGTGATGTCCACAACTGGACACCAGACTCAAGGACAGGCCTAACCAGTCCCGATTAGAGGGCACGTAGTACCTCGCAGGATGTTAATGCATCCTAAAAAATCACATTGGCCATTTTTGCAGCCGCATCGCATTGTTGGCTCATATTCCGCTTTTGATCAATAACAGTTCCAAGATCCTTCTTACTTGCAGCCTTTATTGACCGGCGCCTCTTTGGCTAAGCTCCAAAGTGGGTCTATTGATCTTCTGTGTTTCTCTGAGTTACTTGAATGCCTTTCCATTTCCAGGATCTCGGGGAACATGTACATTTCCCCCCCCACCAATATCTTTGACTAAGTGTAACGGCATGGGCCGTGTCCCTGATGAGTGCTCTTTCTCGGTGCATTTAAAAAATAGAAAAGAGGCTGTGCTCTTGAGTTGAGATCAGAATCCATGTGTTTTTTTTAAATCTAAAATTGATTAAAATTTTTGAAAGTTGATTTTAGTTGTCAGAAAAAAACCCATTTTTATATTGTGATTTAAATCAATTTGTGATTGAAATCAAACCCACCCTGCCCACAGTGCTTAACGGTGACCCGCTTTTCCCGGGGTAAGATGGCCACCTTCCTTCTGAGGATGATGCCTCTCGGTGTAAGCCAGCACTCCTACCTTGAGCGAGGTCTTTGAACCTGATGGCCTTTAAGGCCCCCTTCCCACTCCCATTATTCCGTAATTCCAAACCAATCTGCGATAATCAGCTGCGCAAGATGCGCTTTTCCGAAACATGTCCAGGCTTCCGGTTGAAGGGGAACATCAATCACCACTGATTCAGAGAAAGAATAGATTTAATGCATTTCAAAGTCCTTTAAACATGGGCTAATGCAATACTCCTGATTCAGGCCGAGCAAGTTATAACGATTATCAAAGAGTAACACGATCATCGCCTAACCCTGTAACAGGGGTCATCTTTGCATGCGTTTTACACCGTACACCCTTTCTTTTTGTAGATTTCCCCCTTTTTTGCAGATGGGTTTCTTTCTGTGTTCGCCTTTAATCTCCTCTGCGTGGCAGCTGCTTTCTTGCAACCCGACATTTAAATAAATAATTCTCCCTTTTGAGTGAATTCCCCAGTGCCTCCGGTCTCAGCTGTCCGTTGGCTGCCCGGCTGTCCCTTTTTTCCCCCCAAACGTGGCATCTGCTCCATCGGTCGGTGTTCCCGTTGATCCGTGGCTCCTCTCGAGCCTCCTGAGCCCCCCGGGAAGATGCGGCTGGTCGGCAAACCGAGTGTCCCTGGTCGGCCGCTTGCCCCCGGCTTTGGCACCACCACGGCGGCCATGAGCCCGACTCCGTGAGCCTGTGACCCAGATCTCTTGCTTCCAAGGGGCGCTGGTTGCCAATGACCGTGGTGTGATGCTCCCCCGATGGAGAGTCTGCCTTGTTGTGTGTGTGTTTTTGTACGGAGCACATGTGTGGATGACACCGATTGTAGGTCATAGAGATATAGATATTTCTCAAAGTACACCTGATTTTAAGTCATGGGATGGGTCAGAAATCAAGCTGAAAAAAGGTGGTGAGGAGAATAGAGAATACAGTCATGCCCCGCTGGACGATTACCCCGCTCTACGACGAATCTGCTTTACGTTGACGTTTTTGCGATCGCAAAACGATGTTTTAAATGGGATTTTTTCGCTGTGCGATGATCGGTTCCCTGCTTCGGGAACCGGTTTTCGCTTTGCGATCATCAGCAAACAGCTGATCATCGGGTTTCAAAATGGCTGCCAGCAGAAGACAATGGCCCCCCGCTGTTTTCTCAGATGGATTCCTCGCTTTACAGGCACCGAAAATGGCCGCCGTATGGAGGATCTTCGCTGGACGAGCAGGTATTCAGCGCATTGGAGCACATTGAACGATTTTCAATGCATTTCAATGGCTTTTTTTATTTCGTTTGAGGACGTTTTCGCTCTACAGCGATTTCGCTGGAACGAATTAACGTCGTCAAGCGAGGCACCACTGTATAGGGAAATCTTTATTCTGCAGTTTAGTAAAAGACTGAATAAGGCAGAGTGTTTTATAGCCTTAATTTGTCTGTCTCTTGTGTGAGATGCAGGATGTGGGCAGATTTAAGCTAGAACGAGGCACGCTTAGATGAAGAGAAAACCACTACGTAGTCATCTTTGGAAAATGAAAACCCTCGTTCCAGGTCTAACAGACGCTCTTGAGTCTGTTTGCCAAGGACGCGTGGCATCAGAACTGTTGTACAGTTTTGAATCCTGGTTGAACTCCTCTAGAGGAGCAGTCGAAGTGCGGGGGATTCACCGAGCAGAATAAGCTTCAAGTTCCCTGGAGGAGGTCATGCCTTTTATTCCCCTCCTCAACTGGCACTTACAGTCTTGATCACTCGCTCTGAGATGTGAGTCGGAGAAAGAATACTGTATATATTTTTAAAAGTTTAATGGCTCATCACAGAACAGATCAAGCAGCAAATGGACAAACACGATGGCTTGCTGTAAAGACCTTGGCAGACTCATGGGGAGGGAGGGAAAGGATCAGAGCAGAGCGCGGGGCGCCTTTCGAATCAGAGACAAGAGGGATTGAGTGACCCACATAATAGATGATGGTAGTAAATCAAGGCCTTTCCTAACCCTCTTTTTTGTGTCTGTAGAAGCAAATAGGAGAATTGAAGGGAAATATAGTATTGACCATCCTTCCTTACGGAAAACAAAGCCTAGGGAAAGGTTGAATCGCCTGAGGGGTGGGAATAGTGGGTTGGGTTGGGTGGCCATCTGCCTCGGCCCTCCCTGAATAATTTGTGCATGTTAAAACGTGTTTTTTTAAATCCATATTGGTAGCCGAAACAAATGATTTCTGTTCCATGCTGCATTGTTACACGATGTTCAGTCTTTACTTTTTGATCTGTTTGCATAAGGCTGTGTAAAAACACGATGGCCTTCGATATAGGCTGTCAAAAATCTAAAAACACAATCTGTACATTTGTCAGACTTAACAGTGTATTTTTCCCCCATAGGAATAAAATTTATTTAGGATCATGTGTCTGGTTAAAAAATCTGACTAGCTAAATTTGCATGCAGTTGGAAAACACAAACACATGTAAGTCAGTGGAGAAAAGAGATGTATCAACAATCCTGCAAATATGCAGTTTTTGCCAGGTGAAAAGGTGTGCAAGTTTTTCTTGAAGTGAAAAAAAAGTTACACATATTCCCACGTGAGAATGAAACCAAACCCTTCCTTCCTTCCTTCCTTTCCTCCCTTCCTTCCTTCCTTCCTCCCTTTCCTTCCTCCCTTTCCTCCCTTCCTCCCTTCCTCCCTTCCTCCCTTCCTCCCTTCCTCCCTTCCTCCCTTCCTCCCTTCCTCCCTTCCTCCCTTCCTCCCTTCCTCCCTTCCTCCCTTCCTCCCTTCCTCCCTTCCTCCCTTCCTCCCTTCCTCCCTTCCTCCCTTCCTCCCTTCCTCCCTTCCTCCCTTCCTCCCTTCCTCCCTTCCTCCCTTCCTCCCTTCCTCCCTTCCTCCCTTCCTCCCTTCCTCCCTTCCTCCCTTCCTCCCTTCCTCCCTTCCTCCCTTCCTCCCTTCCTCCCTTCCTCCCTTCCTCCCTTCCTCCCTTCCTCCCTTCCTCCCTTCCTCCCTTCCTCCCTTCCTCCCTTCCTCCCTTCCTCCCTTCCTCCCTTCCTCCCTTCCTCCCTTCCTCCCTTCCTCCCTTCCTCCCTTCCTCCCTTCCTCCCTTCCTCCCTTCCTCCCTTCCTCCCTTCCTCCCTTCCTCCCTTCCTCCCTTCCTCCCTTCCTCCCTTCCTCCCTTCCTCCCTTCCTCCCTTCCTCCCTTCCTCCCTTCCTCCCTTCCTCCCTTCCTCCCTTCCTCCCTTCCTCCCTTCCTCCCTTCCTCCCTTCCTCCCTTCCTCCCTTCCTCCCTTCCTCCCTTCCTCCCTTCCTCCCTTCCTCCCTTCCTCCCTTCCTCCCTTCCTCCCTTCCTCCCTTCCTCCCTTCCTCCCTTCCTCCCTTCCTCCCTTCCTCCCTTCCTCCCTTCCTCCCTTCCTCCCTTCCTCCCTTCCTCCCTTCCTCCCTTCCTCCCTTCCTCCCTTCCTCCCTTCCTCCCTTCCTCCCTTCCTCCCTTCCTCCCTTCCTCCCTTCCTCCCTTCCTCCCTTCCTCCCTTCCTCCCTTCCTCCCTTCCTCCCTTCCTTCCTTCCTTCCTTATTTTTTGTGACCCTTTCACCCCATCCCATCTAAGCTAACCTTTTCGTTCAGCCACACAAAAGATAACTTGGTGTGTTGGTATTCTGCGGCTGCCCAGCTTAACCTGGGTTTTCAGAATGTTTGTAAATATTCCGTGACATCACAGTGGTTGATAGAGAAGGCTTTTGGGTGAGGAACCGATACAGAAGAGCCTGGGATTTTGTGGTTTGTTTGTTTGTTTGTTTCTTACATCTTTTGTATTACATTTTTTTAACATGTGTCCACCATACATTTTTAGGAGAATGTTAATAATTAAGGGAGAAAGGGCTGATAATTTCTCGTTTTTTCCCCCCCTCCAGACCCTTGCACCAAGAAAAAGCTCTCAAAGAAACACTCGGCAGGGAGGCTTCCGATCCCCTGACGGCGTGGCATCTGGCCCCACAGAACCAGGCTAACTTTGCATGTAAGTGGGGTCGTGGGGGGACTGTGCCTTAACATTTCGAAAATGTGGATCTATCATTCGCTGTTAATTGTTGCCCGAGTTTTCTCTCCATCATCACAACAATCCTGCGAGGTGGGTTGATCTGAAAGTAGAAATGGCTTGCTTAGCTTCTGACAACGTGCTGCTATACAGCTGGGAAGTCGTATACCTCAGTGGCAGGGTGCGTGTCCCCAGATCGGTTACTGCTATCTCCAGATAGAGTTGACAATGATTCATTTGGGTCCCAGTTCAAGATCTTCCCCATGAAATTTCATTTTTAATGCAGCAGAGACTCTCAGAGGAGAATAGCTACAAGTTCCTCAAATAGCCCACCCCTTTCTCATTAACTAGCTTTTAAGGTCTCCATAAGACAGTGTGAGACATGGTAGGAGAAAGAATAAAAAAAATTATTTACTTACAATTGTATGAAGTTCCAGACTTTTGAATGCCACTTTCTTTACTGCGCACATTCTTAGCAGCCGATTGAACAGATCAACAGCAAACAAAAAACAAAACCACACCGATGGTTTAAGAAACAGGCTGAGAGAACACGAGACCCTAGTTCAGGCTCCACTTCCTGAATATCATCACTCTGGAAGGATTTGAACCCAGGGCTCTCAGGCCTTGAGGCAGCCACCGGCTCTCTTAGGACCAGCTTGCAAGACTTAACGAGCAAAAGGAAGAGAGTTAATGGGGGTGAGGAGAAGGATGTTGCCCTGGGATCCAGGACAGCTCTCCATCATCTTGAGGCAAGCCAGAGAGACAGGGAGCGCAACTGCTGGTGTGCATCATCTCCCCCGGCCGCAGAGCTGTGATAAATGAGGCTTGTCTGGAGAGAGCGGAGCAGAGCAGCGGATGCAAAACAGAGCCGATCTTCTGTGTGTCTTTGTGTGTGTGTGTGGAGTTAGTGTTGCTTCTTCCCGGAAGGCTGAGAAACCTAGTACAATGGTGCCTCGCTAGACTGTTACCCCCACATGACAGTTTTTTCGCTAGACATTGACTTTTTGCGATCGCTACAGCGATTCGCAAAACAGTGATTCCTATGGGGGAAATTTTGCTGGACAATGTTTGGTCCCTGCTTCGCAAATCGATTTTCGCTAGACGACGATTTTGACAGCTCCCTTCGCGCTCGCAAAAACGGGTGTTTTCGGGACCTAAGCTTCGCAAGACAGCGATTTAAACAGCTGATCGGCGTTTCGCAAAGCGGCTTTCCTATGACCAATCTTCGCTAGACAACGACGATTCTTCCCCATTAGAACGCATGAAACAGGTTTCAATGCATTCCGATGGGGAAATGCTTTTCACTAGATGATGATTTCGCTAAACAACGATTTCAGTGGAACAGATTATCATCGTCTAGCGAGGCACCGCTGTATATAACAGGTAAAACCTCGTGATGCTTTGCTTCCAGGCATCCGGATGAAACCTGAGTCTTAGGTAGAACATTTGGGGTTAAATTAAACCACACCGGGATAGGGAGACAGTGGGGACATTTCCTTGTGGGGAAAATAGGGGAAGAAGCTATTTGGATCTGAGCAACGTATGTTACAGGGAGGTCTTTTCACGAGGCAAAAGAGATGACTCCGCTTCCTTGAGTTTGTAAGATCGAGTGATCTGCAGGCACAAAACGATGCCGTTTTGTAGCCGAAACCACAAAGGAAGGATTGGACCCGCCAGCTAACCGGCTTGGCATGAAGAACTCTCTATTTCTCTTGATCCGTCTTCCTCTCTCGGTGATTGGGGAGAGCTTATCGTACGGGCTTACCGGTATTTAGAGGGTTGAGGGGGAAAGTTAAGAAGAAGGGAGACCGCAGCGTTACATAAAATTAGGACGACGCAGAGCAAAATGGATAGAGAGAATTCTCCCAGGTGGAATGAAAAATGGAGCTGAAATACTGCAAGATTTAGGTCAGATAATAGGTATGTTTTTTTCACAATGCGAACACGATGGGTGTATGATGTAGCCAAGGCTCATTGTGTGACCTTTTCATCCAAAAAAACTCACATTCTTCCCTGCGTTTATGAATATTTTTCAGGAATATGTATTTTTCACTGTTTCCGTGCCCAGATTTGACTCCACCTTTAGTCATTTTGTATTCACCGGACCCTTCAGGAGTTAGAAAAGTTTGCACGTTTAGATGGGGAGAAGAAAGGACTTAACTTTTGGCGAGTTTTAAGATTGGCGCGCGAGAAGAGCCAGGGCTAATAGAATCAGCTTCACTCCGGGAAGCAGTGGAATTAAAAATCCTTGGAGGATTTAATAGGGATTCCAAGAATTTCCTATTCTGTTTTGTGTCAGGATGGAGTGGGGGGGAGAAAACCCTCCAGGAACACAGCTTGGAATATAAGGCTGATGTAGCCTGTTATTTCTCATCTCCATATTGTTATTATCAAGCAACCCAATTTTAAAACTACTGTTGTTATTTCGTCGGGTAGCTAAACTCGATGGAGCAGTAAGGGAGGCAGAAAGGTTAAGCTAAATATACATAAGCCTCTAGAACCCATAAAATTGAGGATCCGATCACCGTTGGACCCTTTTAATAATAAAAAAAATCTTAAAATTGGATGAGAATATTGTCTCATCATTTTCTAGGATTTCTAATCCCTGTTCTCTATCCCATATTTGAGCCTTGACCTTCAGTTGCGCCCTGCTTACGCTCGAATACTGAACTATCAGCACGCAAGAACTTTTTAAAGAGAATGATTTTAAGAGTCAAAAATAAAAATTAAATTAAAATTAAAATCTGGTTAAAATGTTAAAAGATCCTTAACAGGGTTTTCAAGGTAAGTAAGATATTTAAGGAGTGGTTTTACCATTTCCACTCCCCTAGTGACTTTCCCTGGCCGACTGGGGATTCGAACCCTTTTTTTCGGAGTCCTGGTATGTCACTGTATTCGCACCACACTGAGAATCTTGATGATTCCGTTTTGTCTCCAAAAACCAGAGACTGTGGAAATAAAACACATCCATCATGACCAGTAAGGACTTGTACCCTCTTAACCAATAAGGTTTTAAAGACCCAGGGTGCCAGAATCTGTAGAACTGGTATTGCAGTATTTGGCCACGAGTTCTAATCCCCACTGGATCTGTGGCTGATGGGACTTCATGCCCTGGGATCTGTATGGCCTCAGAGAGGGTGTATGGTTCTAGAGTGACCCAGGAAAGAAGGAATAGTAAACCATTTCTGAGTACAGTTGTTAGAAAACACATATTTGACGGTTTTATTGTTTCATGTCCTGCTTTTGGGTTGCCTAAAGCCTTTAGATAGCGACTGTGCAAACAGAAATTTGGACTAGACAGACCTTTAGACTCGTGGGGGGGTCTGGTGACTGGTCACATTGGCATAAATAATACTGGCTTAGTTTCTTGTTTTCCTTAAGGGGAAAAATGGGAAATACATGACCTTTCTGTTATTTTTTTTTTTAAATTAACACAAGTATTTTTGAGTTGCTTTTCTGTAGGCTGGGCTGACAGCAAAATGCATATTCCAGGATCCTGTTCCTCTCTCGTTGGTTGCATAAGGATAATCATGGGAATATTATACTCCCTGGCAAACTCTCCTGGTTTTATATTGTTGGAAAACTGGGTGCGCAAACAGTCCTGTGATTCATTGTACGAATGAAAGACACATCCCCCCCCCAGTGTGTGTGTGTGTGAGAGAGAAAAACCTTTGTGTGAGTGGTTTCCCCTTTTGTGGCTTTGGCCCGTGAAGCCTTTGTGTGAGTGTTTTTCCCTTTTGTGACTTTGGCCTGTGAAAAGCGTGATTGAAAAAAAGATTTTAAAACAGTTTTAAAAGTCGCCGGACCTGAAAGCCAACTGGAGTAAGGCAGTTTTGACTGTCCGGAGCTTAAGAAGGAAGAGAGCACGCTTGACTTCCCTTAATGGCACTCCTGTTCCCAAAAAAATGTTTTATGGGTTGGCAGCCTAGATTGTGGGTGTTAAAAACCACCGAGGTCTTCGGAGTGTGCGTGATGATCCCAAGTTCTGGGGAAAGAGGGCATCTCAGCTATCATGATCTTAAAAAATGTGCATGATCTCCACAATGCCCATCGTCCTGCATTTGGTGGCTATGTGGGTGAAGGATGATGAACTGCAAGCCAACCTTGATTCAGAGAGGGCGACACGTCTTAATCGCCCCGGTTGACGGGTTAGAGACATAATTCATGGAGGGAGGGCTTCAGGAGAGCCGGCGTCCATTTGAAAACGTGACGGTCGAAATTAAAGTTGTGTCTGGGTTTTTGACACACGCCGGAAAGTGGTGTTCAGTTGTTCAGTTTTGGAACGGGGCCACAAAATGTACACTGCATTCCATACCTTGTGTGTGTGTGTGTGTGTGTGAGAGAGAGAGAGAATAAAAGTGACCGGATATTCAACCTTCAGGGGCTCGGATGGCGCCACTGGAATCCCTATGCGTGCTAGCTAGGGCCACCATGCGCGGGATTTAAACATTTTCCACCTCATTGCAGCCACTCGTCTCTCCTGGCCAACAGCTGATTGCACAACTTAAAAAAAAAACAACACACACAAAAAAACAAACCACAGGCGTTTTCCCCAAAGCTCTCCGAAGCCTGGCTGTCTGTGGCCGCAAAATCAACAAAGAGAGCCAAAGCCACCTTAAAAGACAAAGTGTGCCCTCAATGAGAGATGGGTTCTAATCCAGGAACGACGGCGAGGTGCGCTTCTTTCTGCTTTCCCCAAAAGTGGCAACAGAGGATCACGAGAAATGGTGGGAAAAAAAGAGAGAGGCTTTTCCAAAGTTTGCCTAGTTTTCAATTAATGGTTAACATTCCTTTGGCTGGTCCCCAATAGTCCCCCCACCCCGTTTCTCATTCACTGGCGCTCAGAATCTCTGTAACTCCCTGTGAGAGATTTGTAGAGATGAGTCAAGGAAGGTTGGGTAAAGCGGACTGGTGCTGATCCGCAAGCTCTCGGTGTCTCCTCTGCAGCGAGCCACCAGGAAAGAAGTAAATACAGTGGTGCCTCGCTAGACGATGATAATCCGTTCCACTGAAATCGCTGTTTAGCGAAATCATCGTCTAGCAAAAAGCATTTTCCCCATTGGAATGCATTGAAACCTGTTTAATGCGTTCCAATGGGGAAGAATCGTCGTTGTCTAGCGAAGATCGACCATAGGAAAGCCGCTTTGCGAACCGCCGATCAGCTGTTTAAATCGCTGTCTTGCGAAGCTTAGGTCCCGAAAACACCCGTTTTGCGAGCGCGGAGGGAGCTGTCAAAATCGTCGTCTAGCGAAAATCGGTTTGCGAAGCAGGGACCAAACATTGTCCAGCGGAAATTCCCCCATAGGGATGACTGTTTTGCGAATCGCTATAGCGATCGCAAAAAGTCAATGTCTAGCGAAAAAATCTGTCATGCGGGGGTAACTGTCTAGCGAGGCACCACTGTAGGGGGGAAACTTTCTAACTGTTAGAGCAGTACAGCCACGGGACCCATGACTTCAGGAGGTGGTGAGCGCTCCCAACTCTGGAGGGGTTCAAGAGAAAATGGGACCACCCCCTGTCAGATATGGATTCCTGTGCTGAGCTGGGGGTTGGACTGGATGACCTTCAAGGCCCCCTTCCAACTCCCCGATTCTGTGGTTCTGTGCTTCTAACAATTGAGCCGGTGATCAGCATTTTATAGGGTGCACGACTTGATCCTAATCGGCTCACCGTTTTTGAAATGGGCCTTATCATAAAGGTGGGGGCAGGACATTCCCTCTTCAAGGAAGTCATTTTTTATAATTCTCGGTAAAACAAAAATAATGGCCCAAACCTTGTTTATTATTTCGACGCAACTTGGTGTTCATCAGATAATATCAAAAAGAGTTCTTAACTGGTGGCGATTCAACACCCAGATCTATATGTCTGTCTCTCTCTTTTTGGCACATCACACGAAAAATTCTTGGTGTACAACGCTGGGCGGTTTGAAAAGCGCTGAGGTCAATCCTCACATTTTTGTCCTCGTAATGTAGTGTTTGTGGTATGGCGGCCCTCCTCAATTTGTTGTGTCTCTCAGGTGGATGGGGCAGGATGGGGAGCCATATGGAGGAAAGGCAGAATCTGAGTGTAAATCTATTAAATCCAAAAATTAAATAAACCAGAATTGAGGCTGGAACAGGCATAAAACTTTGAGTTATGTGCCTATACGGCCCGTCGTACATACACTTTGCTGACCCCTATGGAGGACCAGAAAGAGAGGAAATGGAGGAACTTCTCTTACTGGTTGCACCCTGACTTTGGAACGATTAACCAACTAAAATCCGCGTTGCTCTCTCCCGACGTCTTTCAAAAAGCTCTTAAAAACCTGCGTGCACTAGCCATTTATTTAGTTTACTGCCTTCTTTAATTTTTTTAATAATGGTTTATATGTTTTAATGGTTTTATTATTGAGTTTATTTTGTTATTTACTCCTAGGTCGGCACTGATTCTGTTAGGTGGTTGCTATTCTGTTCTTGTTCTTTCATTGTTAACTGCCCGGAGTCACCATTCTGTTAGATTGACGGTATAAAAATTGGATGGATGGATGGATGGATGGATGGATGGATGGATGGATGGATGGATGGATGGATGGATGGATGGATGGATGGATGGATGGATGGATGGATGAGTCAATGGATGAATGGATGGGATGGATGGATGGATGGATTGGATGATTGGATGATTGGATGGATTGGATGGATTGGATGGATGGATGGATGGATGGAGACCCAGTGGGTAAATTGAATTTCCAACCTCTGGCTCGGCAGCCAGAGACCACCGAGCTATCCATCCATCCAGCTCCACCAACTGAAAGGAGGATGGGAGAAGACAAAGGATTTGCATCAGTTTCTCTCTTTATCATTTTTGTGTGCAAAAGTAGAAATGATTTCCCAATTCATTTCAACCCAACTCCCGTGACTTTCCCTCAAGAAGGATCCGTGCATCTGGCGAGTCTTTTGCTTTGGGGCTTCTCACTGTGGAGGACGGTCCATCGAGACTGCCTTTCCTAGAAAATGAGGGGGACACCTGGCCATCCTAAAATTCACGGCTCCCTCTCGCCCTTGCAGGTGGACCTCGGGCGGCGCGGGCCCTGTTGGCGTCACCATGAGTAGCACCCTCTCCCCCACCGACTACGACAGCCTGGAGATCCAGCAGCAGTACAACGACATCAACAACCGCTGGGAAGTGGCCGACGAGGAATGGGACAACGAGAACAGCTCGGCCCGGCTTTTCGAGCGCTCCCGCATCAAGGCCCTGGCAGGTAAGGGGCGGTTTCCTTCTCTCCAGGATGGAAGATCCACCCGTGCCGTTTTTTTTTTTAATGTGGCTCGCCTGGAAACCGGGCCTAGCTAGGAAGGCTTAGCCTAGGCCTAGCTCTACCCGAACATCCTGTTCAGAGAGGAAGTTGCCCTCCGGACAGGCTGGGAGGCTCAACAGGATGCGAATACGGAGCTCGGCCTATGCTAAGGCCATGGAGCCATCTTAGCTAGGCCTGACGTCCAGGTCAGCCACATTTCGGCGTCTGCAGGTGTGGGCCTGCCAGGTGGAACTCCCAGAATTATGGGATGGGTCGTCCAAACAAAAACCACCTGAAAAGGCCTCGTCTATTCACTGTTTCAGTTCCTGCGATTTTTGTTTGTTTCTTGTCTGTTTTATTTTTTTCCAGGAGTTTCTGGGTACAGTGGTGCCCCGCATGATGACAATGATCAGTTCCAGTAAAATCGCTGTAAAGCGAAATCATCGTCATGCAAAAGTAAAAAACCCATTGGAATGCATTAAAAACCGGTTAATGCGTTCCAATGGGGGAAATACTTGCTCATTTTGCAAAGATCCTCCATAGGGGAAGCCATTTTCGATCGCTGTCTTCCGGAAATAGGTCTGGAAAACAGCGGGGAGCCGTTTTGAAAACCCGACGACCAGCTGTTTCTAATCGTCGTGCAGCGAAAAAATGGTTCCCGAAGCAGGGAATACTTATCGTTAAGCGAAAAAAACCCATAGAAATATTGTTTTGTGATCACTATAGCGATCGCAAAAACTCATCGTTAAGCGATTTTGTCGTGAAGAGGGTCATTGTCAAGTGGGGCACCACTGTGCGTAATATCTGATTTTGTCATGAAAAGGGTCATCGTCAAGTGGGGCACCACTGTGCGTAATATCCTTTCAGATGGGTTATGTACCATGCTCTGCAGGTTTTCAGAAGTTTGCGAACTCTCAACTGCAAGGGAATTTATTCACGCCCCAGTACACTGTGCAGGTGAATCATTGGGCACGGCTTCCCATGTGCTGGGTGTGCACAAATAATGGTTAATTTCAGTTTATTTTAATTGCAACCTTTTCTTCCACCCTAGGCTGTAATAATCAGACTCGTTCTCGCACCCCATACGAGGCAGGTTCCTCCTGTTCCCATTTCACAGACAAGAAAGCCTAGGCTGGCTCGCGCCAACGTGTCTCCTGACAATCCCTGGAAGAATTCAACCCAGGGTGGATAAAAATAGAGTGGACCCTCGACTTACAGACTTTTCGAGTTACAGACTTCTCTGGCTGCAAAATTTAGATTCGACTTGCAGCCAGAGAATCGACCTACAGACCAGAAAAAAGCCAAAATGGAATACAAATAGAATAAAAACCACTGGTTATGGGATTAATCGGTTTTCAGTGCATTGTAGGTCAATGGAGATTCGACTTACAGACTTTTCGACTTGCAGCCACCATTCCAATACGGATTAATTCCTTAAGTAGAGGGTCCACTGTAAAGAGTGTTTTTAAAACTAAATAGATTTCAATCGTGATTTAAATTTTAAAAATGTAAATCTTTTTTAAACATGTAAATCGTATCCACCCTGCTTTGAAATATAACTCTCATTTCAGTGCACCTTGCTTGTCTCTCCAGACCATTCTGTGGTTTCTCCTGGGGAAAAATCGTGGCACAGAGGACTGGTCTGTACAGGGTGGTCCAATCCAGACAGGTCCTGTCTTCCGAGGATCACAGTGATGCTCGTTTCTCACCTTCCTTTCTGCCACTCTCTGCCGGAAGGCTGCACTTGGGTCCCTGTTCAAATGGGCTTGCTATGGTGTTTATCCTGCCTTCCCCCCCTTCCACTGGAATTATATACTGGGAGGGGTGTATTTGTCGGAAAGTCTAACCCAGGCCGCAAAGAGGTGACCACTCATTCCTGCCTGTATCCATCCCAAGTCTCGAACTGGAAAACTGCTTTTAATACCTGGCTGGTTTCAGGCTGGGTGAATGGGACCAGGTGAGGCGATATATCTGAGGGCGAGTCATCGATAGGCTGGGGTAAAACCCAGAGGTTTGTTAAAGAACCCCACGGACCTGTAGGATTGTCTGAAGCTATTGAACGACATGCTTCTCAATCATTTGGCTCTCCTGCTCCTCCTTTCCTATGTCTTCTTCCTGATCCTTTTGCCCGAATTTCTCCTTTTTTTTTTTAAATTTTTTTGGCAGGGAAACCAGGAGAGCTGGCAGTGGTTTTAAAGGAGGAGGATTTTTCAGGGAAGTTTTTTACAAACATGATTTTTGCCAAAAAATATAAATCCCCTATAGATCTGGGTTAGATAGGAAGAAGGAAAAAGGTCATAACATATCTAATACCGTGTTTCCCCGAAAATAAGACAGGGTCTTGTATTAATTTTTGCTCCAAATATGCCTTAGGGCTTATTTTCAGGGGATGTTTTATTTTACAGTCCTGTCCTCTTCTTATGTTGGTTGCACAAGGGGTGGAGGTCGGGGTTTCACTTCACTGGGTCTTATTTTTGCAGTAGGGCTTCTATGATGAGCATCCTGAAAAACCATCCTAGGGCTTCTTTTCAGGTTAGGTCTTATTTTGGGGGAAACAGGGTACTTCTTTTTTTTTATTCTCAGGCGAAAAGGAAAGAAAAATGAAGAAATGAAAAAGACAAAAATTTGCTGTTTTAAAATACAACAGTTAGTCCTTAAAGTGCCACAACATTTTTGTCTTTTTTCCCTTTTAAACCATCCTCTCTAACCTGCTGCCCTCCAGCTGTGTTGGGTGACCTCTCTCCTCGGGCTGTGTGATGGCTGGAAATAAGTGGGTCCAGGACCCACCAAAGATGCAGAATTGGGTGCGGAAGTTTTAAGTCTGTACACATGTTCTTCTTAAAGTAATCCTGAACACAGGATCCTAGTTTTTAACAGAATCGATACTTTGCATGTGAAAAACCCATTTTATTATACAAGTGGTGTCTCGCTAGACAGTTACTCCGCATGACAGCTTTTTCGCTAGACATTGACTTTTTGCGATCGCTATAGCGATTCACGAAACAGTGATTCCTAGGGGGAATTTTGCTGGACAATGTTTGGTCCCTGCTTCGCAAACCAATTTTCGCTAGACGACGATTTTGACAGCTCCCTCTGCGCTCGCAAAACGGGTGTTTTTGGGATCTAAGCTTCGCAAGACAGCTATTTAAACAGCTGATCGGCGGTTCAGAAAGCGGCTTTCCTGTGGCCGATCTTCGCTAGACAACGACGATTCTTCCCCATTGGAACGCATTAAACAGGTTCCGATGCATTCCAACGGGGAAATGCTTTTTGCTAGACAATGATTTCTCAAAACAGCGATTTCAGTGGAACGGATTATCATCGTCTAGCGAGGCACCACTGTAACCTCAAGCGGCCAGCAGGAGGTAGAAGCTATGTATGTGGGTCGGTATCAAATCTGGGGGGTCCCTACGTCTGACTGTGGGGTGGAGAAAACAGCCTTCCAGGTGTTGCTAGACTCTTACCTGCCATCATCGCAAATCAACAAAGCTGGTGGAGGCCGTTCATGGTCACTTTTGTCCTAATCTATTCCCTGGCGTTGTTGTTGTTGGTTTGTGTGTGTTGTTCTACCATTTCAAGGACTTTCGGTTTGTGTGCTTGTTTGTAAGGAAGGGATGGTTGTCCGGAGAGGCACGGAGCGTGAAGCGTCCAGCCATTTCTCCGGCATCTTTCACCGGCGGGTGCGAGATAGGAAAGAGAGAAGCCGAAGACCTAACTTTTCTTTCTCACGAGGCGCTTCCAAGCAAAAGGACGACGAGAACCTCTTTTGCCAGGCGTAAGAAAATTAATCGGTCAGGAAGTGGGGTTGCCGTGGAGAGCGCTGGACCCATGACCACGCCGGATTAGTGCAGTTTAACTGCTTATTGTGCCCGCCGGCCAAGCCCGAGGCTGGCCGGGAAGCCACGTCTTCTTAAATCTCCCGGTGTGCGAGAGGCGGCTGGACGTACGTTATGGTCTGGACCCGGCGGAAAAGCATCTTTCTTTTTCCGGAGAGCACCCGAGATCATAAGCCGGTGCAAATGAACACCCCTTTTAAAGCGACTTTTTAAAACACTTTGTGGCCCTTGCTCCTTCCAGGGTTTGAAAAGCGTTGTTGTGACTGGATGCGACATGAAGAAGTCTCTTTCCCTTCATCACCTGGAAACGTTAGAAATGATAAAAGCAAAATACACAACCTGAAACGTCCCGGTTAAATCTCCTCTTACAAGGCCCTGAAAAACCAGTGTTGAAAATAATAGAAATCCTCGCTTGTTACTCTTATTATCCTCGCCACGTTGTGTGTTGCTGCGCCACGCATCACTTCTGAAATGGAACACAGTGGTACCTTCTTTGCCCCAAAAGGAACTAGTTATAAGTAACTGTGTTACTTGTAATTCATTATTTCGAAGCTCGCAAAATGGCCATAGAGGGCTCTGTGCCAACGTACTGTTCTTGGTGGTTTGAAATGTGCTTGAGGAGGGTTTTGTGAATACTCCGGCCTTCCGAAAAAGACGGAACGCGTGGGTCCTGGAGCCAGTCAAGCCGGAACGATCTCTGGAGGCCAAAATCCTGAAACTGAAGCTGTCTTACTTTGGGCATATCTTGAGAAGGCAGGATTATTTTGGAGATTGTTCATTCATGGGGGGGGTCATCGTTAAGTCGAGGGCGACCTGATGGCCCGTAACAGCAAAACTTTCTGGGTAACTTTTTATCAGCTCTGGCTTGTTTTTTTTTTAAACTTTCTGGATGTTAAGGACTCCGGCACCCAGAATCCCCCACCAGCATGACCAACAGGAAAGGAGCGTGAGGCTCCTTTTAGTCCAAAAAAACGTCAGAAGAGTTCAGGGTCCCGGCAAAACTTTAAGACTGTTGCCTGAAGAAGAGACCTGTGTTGTGTGGAAGCTTGTGCCGCTGAGCCAAAGCAATGGGAATCCGGGCGGAAGCCAAATTAGGTTTCAGATTATGGGCAGACGCGGTTCCTTTTTTTCCACCCTGCACAGCTGCTCCTGTATGCCAGAAGGGAGAATCTGTAGATTTTTGCTCAGGGATGAAAAAAAGAGGCTCAGGGCGACACGGAGTCACTTTGCAGCGGCCCCATAATAAGTAAGGCACGCCGAGGCTTCACGGCCAGCAATGACAGGCGCACAATGAGACACAAAGGGAAGCAAATCCCGCATTGTTTGGGCCTGGCGTCCGGGTGAGCGTGCATTCCTCTTTTCTCTCCCGTCTGTCTCTCTCTCCCCCCCCCTTTTTTTTCCCAGCTTGTTCTGTCCTGCTTGTCCAGAGGGAGATAAACGCTGGAAATTCAACCGCGTCGGTTCTCCCGGCAGGGAGAAAAAAAAAGAAAAACAGGCGCGAATTTCTCGAAAGAAATCCCGCAAATTCTGCCTGGAAGTCAGTCTCCGGAAAAATACGTTCACACCTGTTTTTAGAACAGGGACTCTGTATAGTTAACTAGCTTTCTTTTCTTGATTCTGCTGCTCATCCTTCCTGTCTTTCAGGGGGGTGTCCCGTTCAAGGAGGATTCCCCCCCCCCCAATGCCCAGTTTTCCCGGATCGGGAAGGAAAGCCGCGGTGGGGTCTGGCATTCCACTCTCCCAGATCCAGGGTGATCAGGAGAGGGCCGAAAATCCACGGGGGCCAGGTTTGAATGTGGGGAGTGCTACGGACAGTGTGCCCGGGAGCCTCCCCCCCCCAATTACAAAATAGCTGCCGACCAGAGACCAGAGTTCAAGGTTTTCTCCAGGTCGGGAAGAGTCCCAGCCAAAAGCTGTTCCCGGTTCCCAAACGAGGAGCCAGGAGTGGGGTGGAGGGTTGTCCCGCTTTTGAACATTAAACTTTATTCCCTGGTCTCGGAGCGGAGGGTGCAAGCCGGGGGGGTCATCCAGAGCCTGGGTCATTCCCCTTTCCCTCGCAGGGATTTGT